GACACTGCAGAAATACAAAAGGTCATGAGAGATTACTACAAGCAACACTATGCCAATAAAATGGACAACCTGGAAGAAATGGACAAATTCTTAGAAATGCACAACCTGCCAGGACTGAATCAGGAAGAAATGGAAAATATGGACAGACCAATCACAAGCACTGAAATTGAAACTGTGATTACAAATCTTCCAACAAACAAAAGCCCAGGACCAGATGGCTTCACAGGCGAATTCTATCAAACATTTAGAGAAGAGCTAACACCTATCCTTCTCAAACTCTTCCAAAATATAGCAGAGGGAGAAACACTCCCAAACTCATTCTACGAGGCCACCATCACCCTGATACCAAAACCAGACAAGGATGTCACAAAGAAAACTACAGGCCAATATCACTGATGAACACAGATGCAAAAATCCTCAACAAAATACTAGCAAACAGAATGCAACAGCACATTAAAACGATCATACACCATGATCAAGTGGGGTTTATCCCAGGAATGCAAGGATTCTTCAATATATGCAAATCAATCAATGTGATAAGCCATATTAACACATTGAAGGAGGAAATCCATATGATCATCTCAATAGATGCAGAGAAAGCTTTTGACAAAATTCAACACCCATTTATGATAAAAACCCTGCAGAAAGTAGGCATAGAGGGAACTTTCCTCAACATAATAAAGGCCATATATGACAAGCCCACAGCAAACATCATCCTCAATGGTGAAAAACTGAAAGCATTTCCACTAAGATCAGGAACAAGACAAGGTTGCCCACTCTCACCACTCTTATTCAACATAGTTTTGGAAGTTTTAGCCACAGAAATCAGAGAAGAAAAGGAAATAAAAGGAATCCAAATTGGAAAAGAAGCAGTAAAGCTGTCACTGTTTGCAGATGACATGATACTATACATAGAGAATCCTAAAGATGCTACCAGAAAACTACTAGAGCTAATCAATGAATTTGGTAAAGTAGCAGGATACAAAATTAATACACAGAAATCTCTGGCATTCCTATACACTAATGATGAAAAATCTGAAAGTGAAATCAAGAAAACACTCCCATTTACCACTGCAACAAAAAGAATAAAATATCTAGGAATAAACCTACCTATGGAGACAAAAGACCTGTATGCAGAAAATTATAAGACACTGCTGAAAGAAATTAAAGGTGATACGAATAGATGGAGTGATATACCATGTTCTTGGATTGGAAGAATCAACATTGTGAAAATGACTCTATTACCCAAAGCAATCTACAGATTCAATGCAATCCCTATCAAAATACCACTGGCATTTTTCACAGAACTAGAACAAAAAATTTCACAATTTGTATGGAAACACAAAAGACCCCGAATAGCCAAAGCAATCTTGAGAGCGAAAAATGGAGCTGGAGGAATCAGGCTCCCTGACTTCAGGCTATACTACAAAGCTACAGTAATCAAGACAGTATGGTACTGACACAAAAACAGAAATATAGATCAATGGAACAGGATAGAAAGCCCAGAGATAAACCCACGCACATATGGTCACATTATCTTTGGTAAAGGAGGCAGGAATGTACAGTGGAGAAAGGGCAGCCTCTTCAATAAGTGGTGCTGGGAAAACTGGACAGGTACATGTAAAAGTATGAGATTAGATCACTCCCTAACACCATACACAAAAATAAGCTCAAAATGGATTAAAGACCTAAATGTAAGGCCAGAAACTATCAAACTCTTAGAGGAAAACATAGGCAGAACACTCTAGGACATAAATCACAGCAAGATCCTTTTTGACCCACCTCCTAGAGAAATGGAAATAAAAACAAAAATAAACAAATGGGACCTAATGAAACCTCAAAGCTTTTGCACAGCAAAGGAAACCATAAACAAGACCAAAAGACAACCCTCAGAATGGGAGAAAATATTTGCAAATGAAGCAGCTGACAAAGGATTAATCTCCAAAATTTACAAGCAGCTCATGCAGCTCAATAACAAAACAAACAACCCAATCCAAAAATGGGCAGAAGACCTAAATAGACATTTCTCCAAAGAAGATATACAGACTGCCAACAAACACATGAAAGAATGCTCAACATCATTAATCATTAGAGAAATGCAAATCAAAACTACAATGAGATATCATCTCACACCAGTCAGAAGGGCCATCATCAAAAAATCTAGAAACAATAAATGCTGGAGAGGGTGTGGAGAAAAGGGAACACTCTTGCACTGCTTGTGGGAATGTCAATTGGTACAGCCACTATGGAGAACAGTATGGAGGTTCCTTAAAAAACTACAAATAGAACTACCATATGACCCAGCAATCCCACTACTGGGCATATACCCTGAGAAAACCGTAATTCAAAAAGAGTCATGTACCAAAATGTTCATTGCAGCTCTATTTACAATAGCCTGGAGATGGAAACAACCTAAGTGTCCATCATCGGATGAATGGATAAAGAAGATGTGGCACATATATACAAAAGAATATTACTCAGCCATAAAAAGAAATGAAATTGAGCTATTTGTAATGAAGTGGATAGACCTAGAGTCTGTCATACAGAGCGAAGTAAGTCAGAAAGAGAAAGACATGTACCGTATGCTAACATATATATATGGAATTTAAGAAAAAAAATGTCATGAAGAACCTAGGGGTAAGACAGGAATAAAGACACAGACTTACTAGAGAATGGACTTGAGGATATGGGGAGGGGAAAGGTAGCTGTGACAAAGCGAGAGAGGCATGTACATATATACACTTCCAAATGTAAGGCAGATAGCTAGCGGGAAGCAGCCGCATAACACAGGGAGATCAGCTTGGTGCTTTGTGCCGGCCTGGAGGGGTGGGATAGGGAGGGTGGGAGGGAGGGAGACGTAATAGGGAAGAGATATGGGAACATATGTATATGTATAACTGATTCACTTTGTTATAAAGCAGAAACGAACACACCATTGTAAAGCAATTATACTCCAATAAAGATGTAAAAAAAAACAAAAGCTGAGCTGGATATATTAAATTCCTTTCTTAGGGATTTGAGATTCGGAAATGGAGAGACTTGGGTGATTAGGAACATAGCTATAGTGAAAGAGCACGAGGCAGCGTTCAAGACTTGAGTAACAATCTGTTTGTCCCCGAAGGAAAGGGATGCAAGGACTGTCAGTACACTGCAGGCTTACACATCTGGAGTTGCGCTCTAGGGGGCGCCATTCACACAGAACGCCTGGTGACTGATGGTCCCTGAAGCTGTGCAGTGCGGTAGCCTTGGTTGTTTTGCTTCCTGGCATTTCTGTTACAGTTCCGGTTGTTATATATTTCTATCAGTGGTTCTCAAACACTGCTGTGTATTAGAATTACCTGGGGAGTTTAAAAAATCCTGATGCCTAAGTCACACCCCACACTGAATAAATGAAAATCACTTGAGTGAGAGCCGGATCTCAGTAGTTTTAAAAACTCTTCAGGTGAGGTGAACGTGTAGCCAAGTTTGAGAATCACTGATAACTCCCTAGTCCCCCTTCTCCGAGGTCATTTGAACGGTGTCTGTTGCAACCGAAGGATTTGTATGCGTCGCTCGTCCCAGTCTTTTTAAGGAGCTTTGACACTTCCCTGGTGTTCTGGATAGCAGGATATGGTCTATGACAGTCTTCTTACTGACCAGCTGTCATAATCCTTATCTAGAAAAATCTCGTGCACTTTGCCTGACACTCTAAATAATGAGGTAGTTAAATTGCTTGCTAATTTCATGAGCTGTTTGAAGAGCTCTTTGCATGAAAATGAGAATTATGTAAAACAGAATCTTGTTTTTGTTCATGCCTCCTGCTTCATTCCTCTTGGTGCTTCTGTGGACAGGATGAGTCATCTCTCAGCTACAACTGGACTGGAATTTCTTTTAAAATATACAGCAGACCTTGATTGTGCTTTTTTTTTCTTCCAGTATTTCTTACTGGTTTCAGCCTGTTCGTTTTCTATCATGTTTTTGTCCTTCTGCCTGGACATAAACATTCCTGTCTCAGTAGCAGCAGCTGGCAGATGCCAGAGGTTTATACAAGAGTATAGGGACATAAGTTAAGGACATAGCTATATTTGGGAATGGCAACTTTGAATGACAAACTGATTCATGCTCTGGAATTTTCTTTATTAAATGGACCTGGAGGAACAGACTTTTCTGTCCACTGGGTGATTTCCTCCTATATTTGCTGGAAGAATCATTGATCATTTGTTATTATTAGCAGCATCCACCCATCCAACACCTGAACACCACTTTTAGAAATGAGATTAAATGATCTGATTCCAGAGAGAAAAATCTCTCATGATCAGTAGTGACAGGCAGGACTGCCAGACACCACCATGGTGATTTACTTAGTTCTCTCCGTGAAAAGGTAAAAGAAAAGGACGAGCTAAGCCTTTTCCAGGTAGACATGAAGGCCTGGGCTCATGTATGGAGCTCCAAGCTCCAGCCTGTGATGGGCATTAATATTTCTTGGCTTTTCTATTGAATGCAATGCCCAGGGATTTGAACAGATGCCAGACAAAGGAGAGACTGTGAGAATTCTGGGCCAGGCATTCTCTAGAAGAAAGAAAAGTACTCAGCAGTTTTAGAACACTCCATGCTCTTTCTGTCTTTGCTTTTTTAACACCTGTCCTTCTTACCTGCCTGGTGAACCCATTCTCATCCTTCAAGACCCAGCTAAAGCAGCACCTCTGTGAAGGCCCCTCTTATTTCCTCTGCTGGGACATGTGGATCCTAGCTGTAATATTATTATTGCACTTATCATTCTCTTAAGTTCACTTAGCCATGGCCTTTCTCGTTAGTTTAAAAACGCTCTGGAAAATTCCCTGGTGGTCCAGTGGTTAGGGCTCCCTGCTTCCATTGCAGGAGGCATGGGTTAGATCTCTGGTTGGGGAACTAAGATCCCGTATGCCGCATGGCAAGGTCAATAAATAAATAAATAAATAAAAACCCTCTGAAGGTGGGACTGGCTTTCTGATGTGTCCCTTTACCCCGCAGCCTATAAAAGTGCCTGCTATCACAGAGCTGATACTCGAGAAATTGATGGTGAATTCAGAATACCACTAGAAGGAAGACAAGAATGAACAGTATTTAAGGATGGCTGTGTGCGCAGTACTTCCATACATCATCTTGTTAAATCTTCTTAACAACCTTAACAACAAATGAGGTAAATATAAATATAAGAAATATTAAGGGTCTTTCACTGCTGATAATGGGCAAGGATGAGTGGGGCTCCCGACTCCCAATCACATTCTCTCTCCATTCCATGATAGCCTGAGTTACTCAAAAAGCCTCTTTTAAAATGGAACCAGATATTCCTTCAGATATTCCTTTTCCTTAAACAGAACTTGCTAACGAGCACAATTCACTTCATTTGAAAATGGCCATTTTGACGATATTAACTTAATTTTATTCTCTTACATGCAAAAACGTTGAAAAGCGTAGGTATCTGCAGATACATGGAGAAGTGTTTTTTTCAGGAAAAATTTAGCATGACTCATGCACATATTCAGTATATTAAATTAAAAGCATCAAGTGGCCTTATGAGATAGGAACCCACAGTACGATGGGCTTCTTTCAAAAGGCCATTTAGAAATGCATCTCTGAAAAGCGGACACAACGTGCAGTAGTAACAAAATGATCTCAATCCCACAGGACTGTCCTAGAATGACCCCATCTATAGATGAGCTTAGAGTGGTAGAGTAGGAATAGTAAGGGCCACCATACATTACTGACAATATGCCAGAGACTGTGATAAGCATTACAGGCCTCAGCCCATTGATACCCAGCAAGCAGGGTCTTGAAGAGTTTTGTACACCCATCTTCATAGCGGCATTATTCACAATAGCTAAAACATGGAAGCAACCCAAGCAATGGAGAAGCAAAGTGTGGTATATAAATACAAAGGAATATTATTCATCCTTAAAAAGGAAGGAGGGCTCCCCTGGTGGCTCAGAATGGTTAAGAATCCGCCTGCCAATGCAGGAGACACAGGTTCGCGCCCTGGTCTGGGAAGATCCCATGTGCCGCAGAGCAGCTAAGCCCGTGTGCCACAACTACTGAGCTCACGTGCCACAACTACTGAAGCCCACGCACCTAGAGCCTGTGCTCTGCAATAAGAGAAGCCACTGCAATGAGAAGCCTGCATACCGCAACAAAGAGTAGCCCCCGCTCGCCACAACTAGAGAAAGCCCGCACAGCAACGAAGACCCGACGCAGCCAAAAATAAATAAATAAATAAATTTATCAGAAAAAAAAAAGGAAGGAAATTCTGACATGTGCTACAACGTGGATGAACCTTCAGCACATTATGCTAAGTGAAATAAGTCAGCCAGAAGAAGACAAACACCGTATGGCTCCTCTTACGTGAGGTACTTAGAATAGTCCAAATCACAGAGATGGAGAGTAGAATGGTGGTTGCCAGGGACTTGGGGAGTGGGGAGTTAATGTTTAATAGATATGGAGTTCCAGTTTGTGAAGAAGGAAAGAGTTCTGGAGATGGGGGGTGGTGATGGATGCGCACTATGCATGTATTTAATACCGCTGAACTGTACACTTAAAAATAGTTACGATGGTAAATGTTATGATATGCATATTTTATCACATTAAAAAAATGGAGAGTCAAAACAAAAATAGAGTATATGTATGTATATAGGTATATTTGGAAAAAGGACGGAAACGGGGAGGGAAGGATGCACAGCAGACCGATAACACTGGTTCCCTCCAGGTTGGGGTGCGATGGGAACCAGGATTGGGGAGGGGAGGGCAGATGGAACTTAAGCCTTATTTGTAATGCAAAATGGACGCCTGCTTCCTCCTTTTCTCCCCCTCTGCCTCCTGGTTCATTCCAAACCCCGTTCTACCAGGAGCGCGTCTGATTGGCAGCCTCCAAACCACATCCTGAAGCCTAAGTACTTGGAGGCCTGGGAAATGTCAGTTTTAGCTTCCCGTCTTCCCCTGCTGTGATAGAAAAGGGCTGGGCAGATTGTGAAACTTATCGATACACACAGTAATATTCCAGGCAACGAAGCCTTCGGCCAATTGCCAAATAAAATCAAGCTAAAGAGAAAAGAATGGAAGTGTGAATCACATGGATTTTTGTATGATTTCTTATTCCACAAAGTCAGCTATAGTCTGAAACTGTAATAGTATAAGCACACAAGAGAAAGAAGTGCACACAAACTTTTGACCTCTATGAACCCTGACATTTCTGCCCTCCTCCCAGGGGGTCCCCCCTCCACCCAACTTCCTGAAAGACCCACTCTCACCTCCTCTTGGGATGTTTTCATTCTCTGTTATGAAGAAAAGCACCATGATGAAGTAATTTAGAGAAATATTTAGGAAAAAAGATGTTCATCACCAAGTTACTTATCATCATAAAACTGAAAATATTTTATATATTCAAAAACAGGAGAGTAGTTTTATTTATGTATTTACGGACTGAGGAAAAAGTGAAAAGCAACATTTCAAAATGTTACATACAATTATGGGTATTTTCTTTTTGTTTTTTAGTTTTACTTATTTATTTATTATTATTATTATTTTTGGCTGCGTGGTTGGGTCTTCGTTGCTGCATGTGGGCTTTTCTCTAGTTGCGGCGAGCGGAGGATACTCTTTGTTGCAGTGCACAGGCTTCTCATCGCAGTGGCTTCTCCTGTTCCAGAGCATGGGCTCTAGGCATGTAGGCTTCAGTAGTTGTAGCACGCGGCTCAGTAGTTGTGGCACACGGGCTCAGTAGTTGTCGCACATAGGCTTAGTTGCTCCACGGCATGTGGGATCTTACCGGAGCAGGGATCGAACCTGTGTCCCCTGCATTGGCAGGCGGATTCTTAAGCACTGCGCCACCAGGGAAGTCCCATGGGTATTTTCTTTGTAGTTCTTTTTTTATTTTCCAAATTTTCCACAGTGAGTTTGTAATGATAATCAGAAATACAGTCATTTGTATTTTTAAAAAAGAAACACATATAACCGTCCTATCTTCCACCACTCTTGCTGCCTGTGGCATGGAGTTTCATCTCTTCATCATGTTCATTTTCCAGACAAGAAGTTATGCTCTGCTGTGCCTGCTTCCATCTCACTTTCCAGGATTTCCAAACAAATCCTTTTGTTTCTGTTGAGAGCAGCTCCCTTCCCACTCCTCACCCCTGCACCAGGGGAAGATTAGGCTTTTAGGATTTAGGGATGGAGAATTTTCAGGTGCTCAAGTTAATCCCACTGGCAAAGGCCACCGATAGGTGAAGGGAGAGACTATTTGGTGCAGAACTACACCGAGGCACAACCTGAACCCCACAGATGCCCGTGTCACCTCCCCTGACAGGAGCTGTCCAGTGCCATCCAGTTGAGTTCTCAGTTCCCAGCTTCTGAAGCCACCCAAGTCAGTAAATGGATCAAACAGAAAGTGAGAAAGCATGAACTGTGATGACTATGAGAACCCTGCAAGGAAGGACACCCACAGATCCCCTCTGCTATTGTCATTTAATTACCTACCACGGTCTGGTAATTCAGGCCTCATTGGCCATCCTTAATTTCACCTTTCAGATCAAAGGTCTAGTCCCTGGCTAGAAATTCTTTATTCCTGTTTTAGATAGTATCTTCATAGCAGGGGAGGAAGCCTCCTACAGGCTGGAGTCAGAAGGCTATGCTGTCACCTGCAGACATCTCCAGGGGCATGAGGAATGTCAGTGCTAAGGAATTATTACTGGGTACCTACAGAATGTAGCGCCCTCTGGGCAGCCCAGCCCTGAAGGAAAAGCAGGAGGACAGGCACTAGGGACCAAGAGATAGCAGGGTCAGAAGTGGGGACATTTCTGATCAGAGAACTAGGCTTGCTGACCAGGAGGCATCTGGAAAAAATTGCAAAATGCTTTCAGGGCAGAATGATAAGCCTAGTGACGGTGGTGCTTCCAGCCTGAACTCCACCCCTTGGTGACCGAGCTCCACCCCTTGGTGACTGAGCTCCGCCCCTTGGTGACCGAGCTCCGCCCCTTGGTGACCGAGCTCTGCCCCTTGGCTGCGTGCGCAATAGCCCTGGGAGGTGATCAAGACTCCAGCAGCTCAGGCCACCGAGAGGAAGGTGTGGTGAGGAAAGGGACAAGTGACACAGACTTTCTGAGGAACTTCTGCCTGTTACTTAGGACAGTTAGGACATCTGAGGGTCAGGCAGCTTAACGTCCCCTGCCAGCAAGACAGGGCTACTGTCTAGTAGCTAGTGAGGCAGGACAAGGGCAGGGACCAAACACGTTTGTGTTGAATCGGGAGGAGACAAACACACCAGCTAAAGAGGGGGCCACTGCAGAGATGGAGAAACCGTGGCAGGGTGCCTGTTCTGTCCTTGGACCAACTGAGATGAAGGTCTCCCTCACCAATTTATCAGGAGTGACAGTACAAGGGAAAGCCCCCCCTGAAAGCCAGACTGTAAGCTCTGCTAAGTTCCAAGAAAGCACAGACTGGGTGTGTTTTCTTTACCATTCCGTCTGCAGTCCCAAGGCTGTGTCTGAAACATCATAGATGCTCAGAAAATATTTGTTGTCCAGAGGGAGAAACAAACAAAGTGGGAACCTAGAGGCTAGAAAATCTGCACGTGGAGGGTGGACCATTTCGTACTCCTCTCTGTTCACAGGACCTGGATTCCAGGCCTTTCTGAGTATGTGACTTTGGACAAGTTACAGCTTCTCAGATCTGGTGCTTTGTTTTGGTTTGGTTTCTCATTTGTAAGGTGGAGACAATAAGACTTCATAGGGTTCTTGTAAGGGTTAAATGAGGTCATGTATATCAAAGTGATTTGTAAACTGTGAAGTGTTAGATAAATGTTAACGTTTGCTCTTCTGTGAGGATGATATGATGACTGTGAGGCTGGTGATAGCAATGACGGTCATGATGATGGTTTCTTTTGGAAGAGAATGATGTGAAATGGCGAAGTGAGCTTTTGAGTATTTCATATGTGGAACAGGAGTGGATGTATTGATGGAAAGAAAGGTTCACGGAAGCCAGAGAACCCAATGCAGGATTTTGCTCACATGGGCTTGTATAGTCACCCTTTATGTTTGTTAGTTTTGAACCCCAGATTGGGGAAGCTCATTTAAGGCAAGGAGTGTCTTTTGCTCCTGCTACTTCTCCATGCCCCTTACATAGTACATTGCTTATAACAAGCAGTAAACATTTGTTGGG